TAAAATCATTTAATTATATAATTATTAATATAAATATTATAAAGTTTATTATTCTCCCATTCCTCTGCTGTTTTTTTCTTCTCTTTCTTTTTTTTTGACCTTTGGATTTGTGCGAATGGAACCCAGCTCTTGGGTTGTCTCAAACCCAAGCGTTGGGTTCCGTGACGAACCCACGCCCGGTTCGTCTCAAAACCCAGGCGTTGGGTTCGCCTTGGAACCCAAGTGCGGAGTTTGCCGCGAACCCAGCTCTCAGGTTCATCTCCGAACAGAAGATGAGGGGATTTTTGGTTTAGGGGAAAAGAAAATGAGGAAGAATAGGGTAAGTATTTTTGATTTGTTTATTTGATTGGATATTTTTGGTTTGTTTCTCTGATTGTTGGATGAGTATTTTCGATTTATTTCTCTGATTGGATGAAGAAAAAGAAACAACTGTTACTGGGCTGGTCGGTGTGATGTTATAAATTGGCCCTTTATATGCTAGTTTTTTTTGTAAATAAAAGGAAGTATGAGGATAAAATGGGAAGACCATGTCAATTTTATTAAACATGGAGCGAGAAGCTCCTGCGGAAGTAAGAAAGTGGAGCTTCCGAACTTTGCAAAGAAACGACGAGAAGCTTAGCATCTCGAAAGCTACAATAGGTTTGGGAAGCTCACCCGTTTGGTGTAGCTTGTGCTTTTAGAGCCAAAATGCTCTTCCAACGATTTGCACCAAAGAGGCTCTAACTCAATTGGTTTGCAGCTTCCAACTTAAGCATATTAAGGACAAACCAAGGATATCACTGTGGATTCTACTCTCCCTTCCATGGCAATTGCACAATACTGAAGCTGTGTAGGCCTGTCCAAGCTCATGGCCCTATCCCCAAGCTCTTAGGCTTTGGGTTGGTGGACCACTTGGCCTCTAAAGGCCCGTCCAACTACCCATATCTATGAAATGATGTAGTGATATATAAAAGATAATAATAAATTTTTTTCTATAAGATTGTATAATAAAAATATAATTTAAATATTTTTATGATATAATTTGAATAAAAAACATATGTTTTTTATAAAAATGGTAAGAAAGGTTTAACACTTTTTTAGGTAGCCTACTACAATCAATAGTGAAATTCAAATCAAATTGTAAAGGGTTATAATATACGACCAATTTACTTGTTTCAATAATTTTTATTTTTATTTATAAATTTTACATATTATTAAAAAAATAAATGAGTAAATGCGAGTCTTAATAAATTAAAAAAGAGTAAATGGAAGGTGTTATAAAAACATTGTTGAAATAAATGATGTCTAAATCATTTTTCCATTATAAATGGCATTGGTAATTTGGTATAAATTCTCTTCCTAAGAATGGAATCTAACTAAACGGAATAAACCCATTATATACTACTTCGGCTGAAAATCTTTTAAAATCGATTCTGCTTCTTTATTCTTGCCAGATACGCGCGGAATAAAAGCTACACATTCGCCTTCAACTGAAGAAAATTAAAAAGCATAAACAAGTTGGCCAAAAAATTTAGAAGAATTAAAAAAAAAAAATCACAAAATTTCAATTCAGACTGCATTTTTTTAAAAAATATTGTTTAAATAATAAAATTATTAGAGTATCCTTCATTAAACAGAAACAAGATTCATTAAAATGCTAGTATAACAATTTTTTTTATATATAATATAACGAATTGTGAAAAGTCATAACGTTTCATCAATTTAAATAATTGTTTAAA